AATGAAAATGTTAAACAAATTAAAAGACAGACTTCAGCTTCTTCTGTTGATTAGATTCCAGCTTGTCCTTCCTTCACTGTATGGTACAAAACCAAAAACAAAACAATAAAATAAAATGTAGTTAGTTTTAATGATAATAATATATTTATTTATTTTTATTAAATAAAATAAAAACAAAATAAAATAATAAAAATAAAATGAAATTTAGTTTGGTCAAATTAAAATAATACTTTTATAATTTTAATAATAATAACAATAACAATAGTAATATTTATTTCTCATAAATATTTATGTAGTTATTAATTTATATTTTCTCATGCCTAATTTTAAAAATATAGCAATAATAATATTACTACTACTAATATATGTATGCATACATGTATGTACTTGCGTGTATATATATATATATATATATATATATACATACACGTTTGTTAATTTCTTTGTTTTATGATTTATTTATTTCTTTATTTATACCTTTCTGATGCCTAATTTCACTTTAAGCGAGACTGAAGCTTCAGCATTATTAAAGCAGTTAAAAAAATCCTCAAAATAAACCAATGTCATATCGGTTATCGGCCATAACAAATATAATTATCAGCATGACCCCAAGTTTCTATATCAGTGTATCCCTAAAAATACTAAATGAATTGTACATTTTATGAGAAATATACAAGAACAGCTACAGTAGTTTCATGCAAGTTAGGAATGATTCAACCTAATATTTCAGTTTTGCAGTTTTCAAATGTCCTGCATGGTTTCTATGTGAGAAAACTCATCTTTCTGTGTTCATGTTACCATGACGTGGCTGATCTCTGATTGACGTGTGCACTCTGAGCGACCTGACTGACACACACTTGTCCTGCCAATCACATTTCAAACACAATCACTGAACACAGATCAGGCCTCTGATTCACACTGACTCATCTTAAAGGGAAGGCGAAGATACATTTTTTTTGCGTGTGTTAATAAAGGTTGGGATGATAGCCTGGCTAGAAAGAGCAATGCTAGAAAGAAAATAGGTGTTAAAATGGTCCTTTCATACTTTTTTCCCCTACTTTTACATGTCAAAGTCATAATTCAGGTCAGTTCAGAGGTTCTGAGTGCTGAAAGTCCATCAAGTTCTCAAAGTCAAAAGATCAAGAGATGATTCTTCATGATATGACCTTTTTAAAGTAAAGTGTATTTGATTCTTGCTGTGGAGACCATACATAAACAATTAGTGGCTCTCTGTAAAACCTTCCCATCAAGACTGCATCACAAATATTATAAAAAAATGAGGGTAGAATTATGATTGAGGCATGCAGTTGAAGCGAACGCACGCTACCTTCAGCCCCGCAGGGCAAACTCACTGACATGAATTTCTTTTCACCCAGCATAAACGCCGCACGGCACATTTGTTTGTGTGCGTGACAAAGGTGTTGGTGTAACACTATTTATCAAAGGCCTGTCTGTAGGTCATTGGCTAGATTGGAATGGTAAGATTGAATGAGGAAATTCATGAAAACAAGTCACTATCTCCTTATCTTTTCATCACTTTTTTCTTATTCACCACATCTTATTGTGATGTCATCACACCTGACTCTGGGAGCTTCAATCAAGAACACATTCTCATATGATCTCATTTGAATTCATTTGAATTGTGCTGTTGTTTGGTTTACACATACATTTGTGAAATATAATATAGTGTTCATGTCAGCGACAATGTCATGGGTACGATTCTCAGTGAATGCATAAATGCCTTGAATACAACACACATCATCAGCATATACAGTACTTCAGAAATGTATAATAGCATTTAGAACTATATATTCAGATCTATAACATTTAGGATTAATAACTACACTGCCTTTCAAAAATTTTGGTCAGTAAGGCTTTAAAAAAAAAGAAGAAATTAATACTTTTATTTGGCAAGGAGACATTAAATAGCTCAAAAGTGACAGTAAAGACTTTTACTTTTACTACAAATTCTACATAATAAATATTATATAGATAGACTATTCTGTATAATATTGTATCTAATAAATGATAAATCAATCTTCACAAACATATTAAGCAGCACAACTGATTTCAATATGCTTGCACAAGATGTGCGATATGTTAAAATGAAATATGTTAAAATTTAATTTTACCATATAACACAAGGTGAAATCTTAAGTATGTTTTCTTATTTCAACATTTTCATGAGTTAACATTTTTTGCTGAAACATATTTTGTCCAAGCAATATTGTCTCTTATTGCTTTAGTTTGGGGAATTAGGACCTTTAAACCATTTTACTCTATGTATATTTTGTTTTTATGATATGATATTTACATTTATGGATTTGGCGGACTCAAATGAAATTATATTGCACTCAAGGTATGCATTTTATGAGCTCATGCACTTCTTGGGAATCAAACCCATGACCTTGGTGTTGCTAATCCCATGCTTCAATTAGATTTACAAATTATTATACTGGGACATATTTAAAGATCAGATAAAAAGATGTTAAGGTACATTACGCTGCCCAAAAAGATACACACAATTTTTCAGCGCTGCTACAACACAAACTCACATTTGAGCCCCTGCACAAACTCAAAGCAGACGGCTCATTAAACAGCCATTGCAGGAAGCCACCTTGACTTTTATTGACCCTATAAATCTAGAGGAGAGGAGTGGATGAGAGGTCTCTGCCTTAGAGAGCGTTTAAAGACAAAGACTGCTGGTGCTTCTGAGACAATAGACTTCCTGATTAACTATTAACAGCTTCACCACTGATAACTTAATTAGGGTCCAATGATGGGGCTTCAGTAAAAGCCTGGGCCGTTTAATTTGTCTCCACTTGATGGACAGGCACTTATTGGCTGGAAGTGGATTGTGTGTGTGTGTGTGTGTGTGTGTGTCTCTACTGAAGAGTTTGTGATGGTAGTAAACACACAACATAAATTGAACACTCAAACAAACCAAGCGAAACTTTTCTTGAAACTGAAAATAAATGCAAAATAAGTTTAATTTAGACAAGAAGTTTAACTGTTAATTGGAACTTATTTTTTTCTCAAAGAGGATGAAATATCTCTTATTATAAACTAGGTTGTACTAGTCAACAAATTATTATCAACATGACACCAGGTTTATAACTCAACAGTTTTCATCAACAATATCTAGCTTTAAGCCATCAAAACAGAAATGTTAATTTTTGCTGTAAGTTACAACATTTTTACAAAAAACAGCTAAATTATTCCTGTCACAGGGACAAAAATATTGAAATTATAAAAGAAATTATAAAAAAAAGTGTAAAAGAAATATAAAAAAAATTAGTGCTGGGCAACGATTAAAATTTGTTTTAATCGCGATTAATCGCATGGTTTTCTGCGATTAATCGCATTGTCATGCACAAAATTCAATAATAAATTCAAAAGTATTATGTACTGTTTTCATTTAAAAGTACTGCTATATGAACAAAAGTGCAATAACATTTGGTTTGCAAACACTTTAAACAAATAAGGTGCTTTTTTTACAGCAGTATTCAGCAGTTAAAATATTTATTGTAAATCTCAACTTAAACATTAATGTAATCAAATTAAATATAAAACCAAAGCTATTTGCCACTGCCAGGGCATTAACGTTTTTATAGAAAATATTTTATAATTTGTTATAGAAAAACAAGTTATGCTCAAGAGTCCAGAGCCTCGATCATAACATTATATCAGGCACCTTCCGAGTAGAGACCTGCACTATCGCGGGACCCAACGCAGCAGAGTGCAGCGCGGGACAACACTAGATGGGCGAGTGCAGGTGCGGGCGGGTAGAGACTCGTGTGTGCGGGATGCGGGAGGAAAATAAAGGGTGTATCACACTAGGCAATCTTAACCGTGCCCGAGCGCGTCTGACCACCAAAGCCCGGTTCGTTTGACTAGTGTGATCGCTCCGTGCCGCGGGTTCGTTTAGCCGGCCCTGGCTCGGTTGGAAGAGGTGGGCCAGAGCACGGTTCACTTGGGCTCGGGCGCGGTACACATGTAGTGGTGGAGCGGCGGAACTTCTGATACGTGCAGTATGATTGCGTGAACATTTCTGAGCGGCAAAAGTGATAGATCTGAAAAGCAATATATTGTGAGAGGGCCGTCTGTTACCGTGTCCCAAACGGCTCAAAATAATAAACCACAAAGTTAACAAAACGATGCACTCCACTGTGCTGAGCGAGAGCGCTTCTCTGCTGCCTTCACATGCTATCGGAAACTTCCTATTTCCCACTTATGAAGTCGTAAGCTCTTCATGTGAGCGCTGCGCTGCTGCAGTCTTGGCCCTCCCTAAATGCGCTCATTGGTATCTTGAGACACGTGATGACACCCATCCCAAGCCAGTACTGATCAACATCCCACCCCTCCTGTGACCCATGGTTTGTCTGTATGTGTATTCAGAGCCAGTGAGCAAAAGACTTTCATAATAATAAAAAACTGCATTAAAACGTGATAAAATAATTGTTGCCGTTAATCAATTAATCAATTAATGCATTAACGCGACAATAACGCGTTAACTTGCCCAGCCCTAAAAAAAATATATTAAATTTTTTAAATTATACTGAAACCCTAAAGTGAATTTTACACACACGTATATATGAGACTTCAGAAAGAAAATTTTCAAGCGTTTGAGGTTATTCTGAGGAGAGGTGTAACATGTTCAGTCTAAAATCAATTGTTTCAAACTTTCAAATTGACGCTCAATAGCTCAGGAAGATAAACAGGAACTAGTGAAGCACAGCTGGACATCAATTCATAATCATGACCTCCTAATATGTGCAGTGCTTCGAGTGACATAGGGGGAGGAAATTAAAATTAGCAATTAAAATGAGTAATATTAGCACCTACTCTTACTGCTCTCCACCTGTAATTGTTAGAACCAACAAAGTTGAAGAAAAAAAAAGCTGTGTGAATGTGCTTCCGAGTGGAAAAGACAACTGAATAAATTGAAGAGAACATTATTAAAGTAAACATATGAGAGGACATGACTGTTATAAACTCACCTCAATTGTGAACTGCTTTCTCTTGAGTTTGAAGGCCAAGTCTTTCGTATCAGGTACCTCACATGACAGACAGTTCAGACGGGGCAACTGACGAACATGCAGGAGACCTGAACAAACAATAAAGACATTAAAAGCGAATCATATCACTGTGTAAATGTGCTGGAAATACATACAGATGAGATATATTGTTCAGTATAGACTTCAAAAGTTCATTCAAAAGTTTGGGGTTGGTAAGTTTTTTTAAATGTTTTTGAAAGAAATCTCTTGAACTGAGCTGACTGAAAATACATTAAAATTGTGAAATATTATTACAATTCAAAATAACTCTTTTCTATTTGAATATATTTTAAAATGCTATTTATTTCTGTGATGTAATGCTGAATTTTCAGCATCAGTCTTCAGTGTTAAATGATCCTTCAGAAATCATTCTAATATGTTGATTTGCTGCTCAAGAAACATTTCCTATTAACAATGTTGAAAACAGACGTGCTGCTTAATATTTTTTGTGGAAACCATGATACATTATTTGATTTGTTATTAATATTATATTAAACCATGATATATATTTATTTGGTGAACAGAAAGTTCAAAAAATGGCATTTACTTGAAGTAGAAATCTTTTGTAACATTACTGTCTTCACTGTCACTTTTGATCAAATTAATGCATTCTCGCTGATTAAAACTATTAATTTCTTTCAAAAAATTAGTTTTACAGGTTGTGAGCAACAACTTTTTCTAAGTGCATGTTTTGCATTAGGTGCAACGTGTGTAGTGTGACACTAGCTATATTTCAAACATAATTAAGTTCTAATACAAGTTTTTAGACTGAAATTGCATTTAAAATTCATTTTTCTCAAAAATCTGATGCGTTACATTTCAGTGAGCATGGTGTTTCTTACTACATTCACAATATAACACAGGCTAATAAACAAGTTCACTAGCAAATATTTTTCTCAGGTTTGTTATGCCTATTCCATATTTAAACAGACTCTGCTTTTCATTGTCTGCTTTTACTGAGTTTTACTGTGGGCACATGCCGCTATCACCTTTCACACTGGCCACCATAGCATTGTTATCAACCATTATTTTATTAGTTGCACCAATGGGCAGAAATCAAAACATACGAGAGAAGAAGTGCAGCGGAGGGAGGAGAGAAATAGGTTGGTGGGAGGGAGAGAAAGCAAGAGAGGTGAGTGGAGGATGGGGGTAAAACAAGGTCAGTCAGCACAGGGGCATGTTGGGAAGAGAGAAAGCTTTTTCAACCTCTATCTCTCTTTAATTCAAAGCTCCATTTTTTTTCTGTTATGCAGCCAGTAGAAATATGACATTAAAAAGAAGCGCTGAAGACCAGGATGAGGGGGATGAGAGGACGGAAAGAGCATGTGTGTATGTGTGTGTGTAAAGGCCCTGCTTGTAAAGGGACCCATGCGCTAGGTTGATTCTGCTCGAGTTGATTCGCTGTGACAGGACTCCCAACATGCTTCGTGCAGTGGACGCACCACAGAAAAATAAGAGTGGCCTCATGTATGTCTTCACATTCACTATTGTCTATAAGACCTTACGGCAAAGCATTAATACATGAAACGAGGTAAAAATCAAAAATCAATAGCAAGAGCCAACACTCTCTGAACTAGGGCTGTCACGATTATGAAATTTGGCTGACGATTAATTGTCTGTTTTAGGGCTTTGGCGATTATGCCGATTATCCTGATTAATTATCTGTTTTTTATGGCTTTCATTATATAACTGTGATTAATTTAAGGGTTCAGTAAATAATTATTATGTTATCTTTTAATATTTTTTCAGTTATTATTTTGCAGTGTAAGATTACATATTCCAAATTCTAAGAATTGGCCAATACCGATCCAACACCAGCGCTATTTTTTTTTTTACACCACTACCGAATATCAATACTGTATTTGTGGAACTAATGGTCACTCTTTTTTAACCCCTTTGTTAAACATAATCCACTAAATACTCACTTCCTCATTACAGAGAAAATCTACATTTGAATAAAAATATATAATCTATGAAATTAAGCTAGCTGACTGTATAATTTAGCAGCAAAAACAATATCTTGAAAAAACACTTTGGTGCACATTATACAATTTAAACTATTATGTTAACTATTTGTATTCTTACAAAATACATTCATGAAAAAAAGCTTCTAATAATCTTTCTGTGTGCAAAACTTTGATAATGTGAAATGCTTCAAACAGAGCGGCACAAAGCTCTTATGCACATCCAGGGTGCAGAATGATGTGCTTGAAGCAACATCAGTCACTGCACTCCACACGGTACAAACAAAGAGAAGAGAAATGAGAGAGCAATGAACTCCAGCAAGATGTCATTTATGCGAATCCCCAGACCTTTATCTACACCTTAAGTATTATAATGGGAATATATCATCTTGGAGAGAGAGTTTTACCGTGCTGACTGTCATAACTGAGCGTGACGTGCTGTTTGAATGCTGAGCGGAGAATAACTGACAGCTGCAGCAGAAGGAAGATCAATTTCTGTAAACTTAAATTTAACAATGTAAATATAATTCTGTCCCTCACATCAAGATATGGAAAGGCTTCAGATGATATAGACTATACAGTGCATGAAAACCAAACTGGTGCTCTTATGTTTCTTTTGGCGTATGACTCCCCCTTGTGCCGTATAAAAAGCACAATAATGGTTGTCTGAAACAACCGCGGTTAGTTCAAATAATCGCGATTAGACGGTTATTTAATTATTGCGACAGTCCTACTCTGAACACCTTATTTTTTTCAAACACTTCAAAAAAAATAAATGAAATAAATAAAAAATAACACAAAAAAGTATGGCACTCACATTGTTGAGGTGTGTCCACAATCTGTAAAGCAGCACTGCATTATATTTTTAAAGGGGTCATAGGATGCCCATTTTCCACTGGTTGATATGATTCTTTAGGGTCTTATTGAAAAGTCTGTAACATAGTTTGGTTAAAATTTCTCAATGGTAGTGTAAAAAAACCCTTTTTTTCCCCTGTCAAAAACAGCTCTTTTCAGAGCAAGCCGTTTTGTAGCATTTTCCTTTAAATGT